TTGTAAGGCAGTGGAATAGCCTAGAAAATGACGTAGTGGAGGCAGGAACCATACACAGTTTTAAGACGAGGTTTGATAAAGCTCATGGAGCGGGGAGAGAGAGGGCCCAGTAGCAACCGGTGAAGAGGCGGGGCCAGGAGCTAAGACTCGACCCCTGCAACCACAAATAGGTGAGTACAAATAGGTGAGTACACACACACACACACACCACCACCACTTGACACAAACACTTGACACAAACACATACCCCCCCTCCCCTAACCACCTCTCCCCTTCCCTAACCACCTCACCTTAGCCACCTACCCCTCCTCCAAACCACCTAACCCCTCCCCAAACCATCTAACCCCCCCAACTATCTCCCTCCCTCCAATAACCATCCTCCCCATCCCCCATAATCATCCATTCCCTCTCTCTCTCTCAAACATGTACTCCCCCCTCCCCTAACCACCTCTCCCCCTTCCCTAACCACCTAACCCTAGCCACCTACCCCTCCCCCAAACCATCTAACCCCCTCCCCCAACTATCTCTACCCCTCCAATAACCATCCTCCCCCTCCCCATAACCATCCACTCCCTCTCCTCCTAACCATCTATTGCCCTCCCCCTAACCACCTGTCCCCCCTTCTGTGGAGCAACAGGGGAACCTAGAACCAGGATGAGGACGAGGGGCTCCAAGGACGAATCTGGGAGGGAGGAATGGGAGGCAGAGCTCAAAAAAGGGAGGAAGACTGGGGAAGGAGACTAGATAAGCTGGAAAGAAAGATGGAAGAGAGGTTAGCAGCAGAATGCAGAAGGTGGAAGCAACAGACCACAGCAGCAGAAATCAAGATAGAGAGATTAGAAGAGGAGCTGAGACATCTGAAACAGCATAGAGACAAAGATATTACAGAAGTAGCATCGGCAATGGCTACATCAGACACAGACAACAGGTCTGAAGGGAGCATGGAAACTAAACTGTATGCAGAGGTCCTGTCAACCCAAATGGGGCCAAAACAATGTCAGGGGCACACTAGGACAGAATGAGAGGTTGGAAGACATTGTAGGAGCTTGGTACTGTTGCATGGGACCATACCAGGGTACCTGTGGGGGACAGGAAACAGGTGAGCAGTAAGGACAAAACAGAAGCATAGATGGCCTTAATAGAAAGGGACTGAAGGAAGGAAACACTGCACGGGAAGGAACTACAAAACACATCAGAGATGCAATGGGAGTCACAGTGGGAGGTGGGAAAGGGAGAGATCCGTGTTTGTCTATGGGTTATTCGAAGCTAAGGGTGAAACTTATGATGAAAGAAAGCAGGAGGAAGAAAAAAAGCAATTGTAGACACTGAAGGTGTGATAGGCGAGGGGGGACATGACCTAGGTGGGCAAATTTTCGGAGAATCGGGTGGTTCACAAAGAAAAGGATACCAGGCCTCTCAAAGTAATTTTCAAGGGCAGAATCAATCACAAACATGAACCTGCAGGAGAAAGCACGGGCTGAGAGGAAGAAAGAGTTCTGGCAGTGTGTACCTCGATCTGAGGACAGAACACCAGGACGAAGGAAGACGATGAAAGAGAGAGTGTTCAAAAACGAAAGGAGAAAATTGGAGGAATGAAAAAAGGAGAGCCAGAATAAACCAAGGATCAAATGAAGGACAACCACCACCCCCTAGATAAACACCTGATCCACAGAAGGACTCCAGCACGACATCCCAAAGGCCAATGAACCAATCCAAACCAACCATCACACACTGATCCCCTCTGTTCCCACCCCCCCACCACAGTTTACAGTATATTTAGAACAGACGTTGAAGGTTTGGTACAACAAATGTTAGATGGATTACGAATAAAACACAATGAGGAAGGAATGGCAAGAAAGATCAATGAGAAAGTCCCCAGACATCTTAGCAGATACAGAAAACAAAACTCACGGGAGGACAATAAAAGATTGCAATCTTCCCACCAGGATACCAGATCTTGAGGAAAGATAGAAGGGGGCAGAAGGGGGAGTGGGGTTGGCTCTGCTTCGTAAAAAACAGATGGGAAATTCGAGAAAATGGAAGGTCATAGATGTGACGGGGTGGGAAAGTGAACTACATAGTAGGTACAATTCAGTCTGGGGAACACAAAGTGGTCATTGCCACTGATGTATAATCCCCCACAGAACTGCAGAAGGCCAATGAGAGGAATATGAGATAGAGAGAGAGAGCAATGGTGGACACACTTGCTGAGGTGGCAAGAAGAGCTCCTCCAGCAGACAGAGCAAGTTGCTGGTATATGGGGGAGGATTTCAGCACAGGGAGATTGACTGCGGAAAAACCTTCGCGGAGCACATCATGAGGGGTCCTGTATACATGCCGAGAGCCAGGTGTGGACTTGGTGCTGGCGAACATCTTGCACCAACATTGTTAAGGACACTACCAGAGTTGAGAGGAGAGGAATAAACAAGCAAGATTGGACTTGTGTTCACCTGGGCAAGGTCAGACATTGAGGACATCAAGCAGAGAGAGTCCCCTAGGAGCTAGCGAACCACGTGGTTCTGTGGCTTTGATTACATAGAGCTGCCAAGTGGAGAGAATAAACAGGATGTTGAAATGGGAAAAGCTGGCTATAAAGAGGGAAATACATTGGGTTGAAGAACTTTCTGTGGGAGGTTCTGTGGAGCAGGAGTGAACTGCAGGAAAACAGTAAATGAATTGAGGGAATTATGTAAAAACAAAATGCAAGGAGGCAGTGAAAGGTTTTATTCCCATAGGGCAACAGTAACTATGGAAGACAGAACGAGCCCCTGGTTTTACCCGATGGTGTAAGGAGGCAAAAACAAAGTGAATAGAAATTGGGAAAAGTACAGAAGGCAGAGAACACACGAAAATAGGGAGAACAGCGCAGGAGCCAGGTATGTGTATGCACAGGTTAGGGGGAGCACCAGCGACAGTATGAAAATTGAATAGCATCAAGAATCAAGACTGACCCGAAAAATGTTTGTTATAAGCTACATCAGGAGGAAGGCAACAGTCAAAGACCAGGTATTAGATAAGGACAGAAGGTGGAGAACTCACAAGAAATGATCAGGAGGTATGTGAGGAGCTGAACAGGAGATTTAAGGATGTTTTACAGTAGAGGACATGAAGGGCTGTGGGAGAAGACAGCACAGAAGGGAACATCAAGAGGGAATTACCAACCAGTGTTGGACTGACATACGAAACAACCAGGAGGAGGTTGAAGGAAGTCCTAAGTGTCCTTGTACCTCAAAGGCGATTGGGACCGGACAACATCATCTCCTGGGGTCTTAGAGAAGGAAATGCTGAGATGCTCGTGCGTTGCTACTAACACAATCTTCAACACATCCCTTGAACTGGGAAACTAACCTGAGGAAATGGAAGACAGCCTAATGTAGTCCCCATATTTAAGAAAGGAAACAGGAAACGAGGCGATCTAAACTACAGACCTGTCGCTAACATGCTATTGGGTGCAAAGTCATGGAGTAGATTTTCAGGAGGAGAGTGGTCGAACACCTGGAAAAAGGTACAAGATTATAATGAAACGCATGGGTTCTTGAGAAGGCACAAATGTGTATCACAAACCTCTGGAGGTTTTTATGAACAATGGTAACAGAAGTAAGACTCGAGAGAGAGGGGTGGGAAGATTGCATTTCCTTGACTGCAGGAAGGCCTTTGACACAGTTCCCCCAAGGAGATTAGTTCAGAAAGCTGTAGGATCAGGTGGCATGTAACAGAAGTGGCACTGCAATGGATCAGGGGAAAATACTGCGGGGGCAGACAACGAGTCATGGATACGTGAAGAGGTATCACAGGGCGGCGCCTGTGACGAGCGGGGTCCCACAGGGATCAGTATCTAGGACGTGCTTTTTTGATGTATGTGAACGACATGATTGGAGGGAATAGACTCAGAAGTGTCCTGTTCGCAGATGATGTGATGTTGATGACAAGAATTAAATCGATTGAGGATGAGGAGGACTGCAAAGAGACCTGGGACAGGCTGGACATGTGGTCCAGTAACTGGCTTCTCGAATTCAATATGCCAAATGCAAAAGTCATGAAGATTGTGGAGGGGCAAAGAAAGACCGCAAACAGAGTATAGGCTCGTGGACAAAGAATAAGGACTTCACTCAGGGTGAAGACCTTGGGGGTGACCATAACACGAGCACATCACCGGAGGCAAACATCCCACAAATAACTGCTGCAGCATACGGGCGCCTGGCCAACCTGAAGAATAGCGTTCCGATACATTAATAGAATCGTTCAAGACATGTACACTGTGTATGTTGGCCAATTCTGGAGTATGCAGCACCAGTCTGGATCACACACTGGTCAAGCACGTCAAGAAGTTAGTGAAGTACAAAGGTTTTGCAACAAGGCTGTCCCTGAGCTCAGGGAGAATGTCGCGTACTAGGAAAGGTTGAAGGGAAATCGGACTGACGACATGGAGGACAGAAGGGTCAGGGGAGACATGCTAAACGGACAATTACAAGATACTGCGGGGAAAATAGACAAGGTGGAAGAGATAGGATGTTCCGGAGAAGGGCAAAGGGACAAGGGGTCACAATGGAAGATGAAAAGACTCAGTACGTGCAATAGGGACGTTGAGGACGTATTTCATTCAGTCATAGTGTTGTCAGGATGTGGATTAGCTAGAAAGTGAAGTAGGAGTGGAGGCAGGAAACACATACATAGTTTTAAGAAGAGGTATGATACAGCTCAGGAAAGCAGTGAGGAGAGGACCTAGTAGCGATTCAGTGAAGAGACGGGGACCAGGGAAAGGAGCTGTGTCTCGACCCCTGCAACCTTTAATTAGGTGAGTACAAAATTAGACCAAACACACAATTAGGTGAGTCAATCAGACACACACACCACACACACACAATCACACACACACACACACACACAACACAAACACACACACACACACACACACACACACAGCGGGTCAGTTCTAGGAACCGTGCTAAATTCTGATATAGGTGATCGAACATGATGGAAGGAAAAGATCTGAAGTGTACCTGTTCGCAGGATGAACGTGAAGTTGATAGAAGAATTATATCGGATCGAGGATGAGGGCAGGACTGCAAAGAGCCTGGAGACGCGGCTGGACATGTGGTCCAGTAACTGGCTTCTCGAATTCATCCAGCCAATGCCAAAGTCATGAAAGATTGGGGAGGGGCAAAGAAGGGACCGCAGACAGAGTTTAGGCTTGGTGGACAAAGACTTCAGACCTCACTCAGGGAGAAAGGGACCTTGGGGGTGGACCATAAACACCGAGCAATACCGGAGGCTCACCAACAACCAAACATAACCGCTGCAGCATACGGGCGCTGGCAACCTGTGAATAGCGTTTAAGATCATTAATAAGGAATCGTTTCAAGTCACGTACACAGTTGTATGTTAGGCCCATACTGAGAGTATGCAGCTCCAGTCTTGGAAACCCACACCTGGTCATGCACGTCAAGATGTTAGAGAAAGTACAAAAAGTTTGCAACAAGGCTAGTCCCAGAGCTCAGGGAATGTCGTTCGAGGGAAAGGTTAATGGGGAAATCGGGAACTGACGAACTGGAGGACGAAGGAGTCAGGGGAGACATGAATAACGACATACAAGATTACTGGGGAAATAGACAAGGTGGACAGAGAGAGGGATGTTCAGATGAGGGGTCACAGGGAACAGGGGTCAACAAATGGAAGCTGAAAAGACCTCAGACGAGTCAACAGGGACGTTTAGGAAGTATTTCTTCAGTCATAGAGTTGTCAGCAAGTGTTCTAATAGCCATATGCAATGTGAAGTAGTGGAGGAGGGAAAACCATACATAGTTTTTAAGAAGAGGCTATGCAATGCTCAGGAAGCAGGAGAGAGAGAGGATCCAGTAGCGTTCAGGGAAGGAGGCGGGGCCAGGTGCTGAGTCTCGGACCCTGCAATAACAATTAGGGGAGCTTACTAGTAGTGTGAGTACAACACACACTCATACACCAACCACACTCACACACACACACCACACACACCATGACACACACACACACAACAAACACACACTCTACACACACACACCACACACAAACACAACATACACAGACACACACACCATCACACACCCAACACAAAACACACAACACACACAGTCAGTCAGCAGACGTGGGTCACAAGGCTCCGAGATCTTTAGTGGTTTTATGGCGTTGCAACAACTGCTAGCAGTATTCAGCGGTGTGAAAACGTCAGTGAAACAATTCCTAGACTGATAACCAGAGTTATTAGTAAAAAATGTCTAGTGGAAGCCTGGAAATCTTTAATATTTAAAGTGTCAAACCGTTAGTGGATAGTAAGACTTCATGTTGCTCTACTACTGATTCAAATATAACTACAGATCAAAGTGAGTGTGGGAAGCGGGTGTTCAAGAATTTCGAGGAGATTGGATATCAAGTGAAATGTGAGGGCACCATACAGTGAGAGTGAAAACTTAATAAGAAAAGTAGAAGGAAAAAAAATTATTATATACAGGAAGGTGCATTAGGCCTGCTGAAACAGTGACGTCACAACAGTTGTGTGACTTTTATATACATATAAGAGTAACACCGAATGTGAAGTGTATTTCCTTGATATGTGAAGGGTGTACTCTATCATGAGGGACACTGAGGGCGCGGTTGCATGAGCATATACGGTTATAAAGATCCAAGGTGAAGAATTTTAAAAATAGTGATAGAAGGCTACGTCATAGCATCTGGAACTTGTCATCGCATCACTGCCAGCTTAAGTATCACTTCACCTGTTGGGGGTTGTTTTTTGGGGGTTCTGAATCCTGCCTTGAGTCACTGATGATACTGGTCACTCAATCTGCAAGCTATTACCAGATTTAGAGCAGAAAATAGCTAGATTAGGTGAAGATAGGGTTTGACTAGCGAGGAGCAGCCTAGCGAGGGGAAGCCTAGAGAGGGTGACGGTCAGACATCCTAGAAAGCTCAGTACAAGCTATAATTTTACAACCCTAATTACTTTCTGTGTTTTATTAAGTTGAAGTGATAAGTGCTAGAATCACTGTTGGTAGTTATAAGTAACTATGTGGTATTCTACTGATATTTATTAGCAGTTATGAATACTTAGAAGTGGGTGGGCACAACATACACTCGAGCACACAACACACACACACTCACAACACACTCAAACACACACACACACACACACACACACACACACACACCTCACAAAATACACTCTCACACACATAACATACACACTTAAGCTGAGACTAGCTTAATTTTTCCAACCTAGCTAACTTTCTGAATTTTGAAGTAGAATAGATAAGTGTTACAAGTATTGGTCTAAGCTTAGAGTACTGGTTATCTACGTATTTATTGCAGTATGATATACTTTGAAGTGGGGGCAACCACACACACACACACACACCACACACACACACCACACACACACACACACACAAGCACACACATTTCATACTACACCACACACATACACAAACACACACACACAACACACACACACACACACACACACATACAACACACACACACACACACTCAACACACAACACACACACACACATTCACACACACATACAATACACACACACTGGACACACACTCCTTAACACAACTTACACACCACATACACACACACATACACACAACACACATACACAACACACACACACCATACACACATACACACATACACACACTAATACACACACGGAACAAGCACTTGTTAAGCTGTAGTACTCACACGCAAACACACATACCACAGGATTTACACCGTCCTGTGAAAACTGACCATCTGAACTTTCTCTTCTCCCCCCCCCTCTTTCTACACTAAGTAGGGACCTATCTATACCCTCTTCTCACTCTTTACCCTATATCTCTCTCTCTACCTTTCACTCTTACCTATCTCTCTCTCTCTTTCCCTCTCCCATCTTTCCCCTCTAACCATCTCTTACCTCTAAACACCCCCCCCCTCTAAACATCTCTCCCCTTAACATCTGGTCCCCTCCCATTATCTCTCCCCTCCTCCTTTCCCCACCTCTCTCCCTCCTCCCCTCCCTCCCCCCTGCCTTTTCCCCTCTCGCTCTTAACATCTCCCCCCTCTTTTCCACCTTCTCCCCTCTTTGCCTTCCCTTTCTCCCTCCTACCCTTCCCTCCCTCCCTCCCTCTCTCTCTCTTCCGCTCTCTCTCTCTCTCTCTCTCCTCTATCTCTCTCTCTCTCTCTCTGTCTTCTCTCTCTCTTTGCTATCTTCTCTATTGCTCTCTCTCTTTCCTATCTCTTGCTCTATCTCTTTGCTCTCTCTCTCTCTTTGCTCTCTCTCTCTCTTGCTATCTCTCTCTCATGCTCTATCTCTCTCTGATCTCATCTCTCTTGCTCTATCTCTCCTCTTGACTCTCTCACTCTCTCTTGCTGCTCTCTCTCTCTTTGCTCTCTCTTCTCTCTTGCTCTCTCTCTCTCTTGCTCTCTCTCTCTTGCTCTCTCTCTCTCTAGATTCTCTCTCTTGCTCTCTCTCTCTCTTGCCTCCTTCCTCTCTCTCTTTTGCTCTCTCTCTTCTCTTGCTCTCTCTCTCTCTTGCTCTCTCTCTCTCTCTCCTTGCCTCTCTCGCTCTCTTGACTCTCTTCTCTTGCTCTCTCTCTCTCTTGCTCTCTCTCATCTCCTCTTTGCTCTCTCTCTCTCTTGCTCTCTCTCTATCTGCTCTATCTCTCTCTCTTGCCTCTCTCTTCTTGCTTCTCTCTCTCTCTTGCTCTCTCTTCTTTCTTGTCTCTCTCTCTCTTGCTCTCTCTCTTGCTCTCTCTCTCTCTCTCTGGCTCTCTCTCTTCTTGCCTATCTTATCTCTTGCTTTCTCTCATCTCTCTCGTGCTTTCTCTCTCTCTTGCTCTCTCTCTCTCTTGCTCTCTCTCTCTCTTTGCTCTCTCTCTCTCTCTTTGACTCTTCTCTCTCTCTTGCTCATATCCTCTCTCTTGCTCTCTCTCTCGCTAGATCTAACTCTCTCTAATGCTCTTCTCTCTCTCATGCTATCTCTCTCTCTGACTCTCTCTCTCTCTTCTCTCTCTCTCTTGCTCTCTCCTTCTCTTGCTCTCTCTCTCTCTTGCTCTCTCTCGTCCCCATTTTCCCTGCTAACTCTCCCAGTCCTACTCTTCCCTTCACTCTCTCCGACCCCCTCAATACCTTTCCCTTCTCTCTCTCTCTCACAAAAAAAAAAATAAAAACAAAAAAAAAAAAAAAACAATGGTGGGGACTCGCTCAGGAACAAGATCTGATGAGAAATGGTGATGGAAGGGAGGAGTGGATGGAGGTAAAGGAGCAGGGAAAAGGATGAAACAAGAGGGGTTAGAATATTTGGAGAGCTTTCTGAAAAAATGGAGAAAGTGCTCTCTGTGAAATTGGAAAAGGAGGTTGGAGAAGGAGACAAAGAATTGGGTAAGGCACAAGTCGAAAAAACTGCAGTAGCCAAGATAAGGGTCATAGAAGTGTGATAAATAGGCTGAACGCGAGTTACAGGGGCAGTGACCTGAGAAGACACTGCATATGAAGACTGCGAGGCGAACAGGAAGGAAGGAATTTGAATTTAGGCTAAGGTCAATCAATCTGCCAGGAGGAACCAGAACAAGGAGTGAAAGGGAAAGATCAGTGGTTGCAGATGGAGAGGGTGATAGGTCGAATGCTGAGGCACAACAAGGCTATCAGAAGCCACTGGGAAAAAATCAAGGGAGGAAAACTGACCACATACAGAAGGATCCAGAGTCACAGAGGGTGAGGCAATGGGAGGAAGAAAGGCACAAAATCAGTGTTTTCCATGGGCTTCAGGAGAGAGAGGAGGAAAGGACACACACTGAAAGGACGCAGGAAGAGAAAGAAAGGAGATTGAGAAATCTCACGGAAATAGGTGAAGAGGATGGACGAGATTGTAAAATTTTCAGAGAATAGGGGGGTACTCGAAAGTGGTGAAACCGACCAATCAAGCTGATTCACGGACGGAAACATGTGCGGAACAGGATCCTCTCAGAGAACAACAAACATTGAAATATCGGAAGAGTACAACGAGGGTGTTCCTAGACAGAGACTGAACAAAATCAGAACGACAGCAGCTGAGGGAGAGGACAAAAAAGCGAAA